GCCCCAAAACCAAACCCTGGGGAACACCACTTGTGAAGTTCCAGTCCTGTGCCATCGTTTAAGAAGCCCCCAGATGATGGCAGGATACTTAGTTAATGGGTGGGGATCAAAACCAGCGCTCAAAACACATAATTCCATTCGGGCTGCTTTAAAAATAGCCTGTAAAGTTGTTACAGGAAGGTCCTGGCCACATGCCCTGTTTTCCTGGCGTTCATCTTTGCTTTTACTTTGTTCAGGAGAAGGAGTTTGCCCCCAGCCAAGTGCAGCCACCATCGAGACTTTCAGAGAGTCCTGGGTCGCCGGCAAATGCCCCGTGGGAAATAACAGCGCTGTAGTTCCCAGAAAGTTTTAAACCTCCAGTAATTGCCTTTGACTGGATAAATTGGGTTTTGAGTGTGCATCAGCGGCACGAGTTAAATGGAGTGCTTAGCATAAGTCAATATAATTAACTCCGGAGTCTATCTGGGGTGCTTAAGCGATGCAGTTAAATTAAGGTGATCGGTTATTAGGAATAGATATCACTCCCTGCTTAATGAACACCCAGCAGAGAGAGAGACCCCCCAGCCCCCTTGTCCTTCCCGCAGCCCCTTCTTTGGGCAACGTGGTGGCAGGAGCAGCTTTGAGTTTTGCAGAGGCCAGGAGGGCAGAAGAAAATTGGCTAACGGGAGCGTAACACATCTCCAGCAGCTAAAATCTGGTTCGCAGACCTTTAGGGAGCTTCTCACCACGAGCAGCGTGGAAAACAGGGAAAAGCATCCGTAACTGAGCGGCTACAGCTCCCTCCAGTGACTTCTCCAAAACACGATGCAGACAGAGCTCCTCGATCCCTCCTCGGGGAACGACAGCACGTTGGTTTATTCTGGCTGTAGTTTGTGTTTTCCTTTTCGGGGATTAATGCCCCAAAAGGTCCCTAGGAATTCCATAAATAGAGGCTAACAGTGGAGAATTGGGTTCTGGAGAGCTGTAATTCAAGGCATTGCCTTAGCAGCTGCTTAGCGTGACTGAACGCGGCGCCTTTCGGCTGCCAGGTACCTTCAGAGAGCAGCCACAAAGCCTTTACGACTTGTAATAGTCGGTAGTTTTGATCACAATTTGGCAATTAGCCTAACCCTGTGCTAATGCCAGTGTTGATTTGGGGCTGGCTGAGTTCTGGCTCGAAGCTCTGCCATTCAGGGTGCAAGCGGCCACGACTGCGTTGAACCAAACCTTGTTGGAGTGATGAGGCCACGACAGATAGAGACCTCTTCCCAACCTCAACATTTGGACCTACTCTTGCTCAGGACGAGTGCATTTGGGATCAGGAAACCTCCTGCAGACCCCCAGGGAGCTCTGGGCTGGGAAATGCAGCCCCTGCGAGGTGCCAGGGACCTTCAAAGGGACCGGGTTGCCTGGAGACATGAAGCCAGCAAAGGTCTTCACCATCCCCTACGAGCTGGTTGTCTGCTGCAGCCAAATCGCTGTCTTAATGGATAGTCCTGCCTCTAATGACAGAATATTTATAACCAGTGTTTCTGGCAGACAGAAAATCAATGGTGAGACACAGTATTTCTGCCAGGCTGCTTCTGTGCACACGTAGGGAGCTGGAAATCAGCCGCGGAGCTCTCGGTCACAGCCGATAGCGTGCTAAAGAATGGGATTAACGTTCATTAATGTGGCGGTTAGCTCCGCTCCACGGCTGCTGCCGCTTCTCTCCTCTCACTGATGGGTCCTGAGCATGGATAAATATATCCTGAAGGAAAAAGATGTAAAATAGATGATGATATGAAATGCGGTGTTGCGGTGACATGGCTCAGTTCAGAGAGGTGAAAAATTGAACTTTGGGGTCTCATCTCACCGAGTGTTTTCTCCCTATTTAGGATGTCACGAGCTGGAGCAGATGCAGCTTATTCTGGAGACGATCCCCGTTATCCACGAGGAAGACAAAGAGGAGCTGCTCAAAGTGATGCCCACGTTCATCAACAGCACCTGGGAAGTGAGGAAGCCGCTGCGCAAGCTGCTCCCCGAAGTGGACAGTGAAGGTACCGTAGCGCCCGCTGTGTCCTTCTCCTGGGCCTTTTCCCCTCCTCCTGCCGTGTTTTCAGACCTGTTTCCCCAGGAGGTCACAGGAATTGTCCACTAAAGCCAAATGTATGAGCCTGTATGTGCTGTCCCCTCAGGTCTTGCTCACTGTCCCACCAGGGAAGGTGTGGGCTACAGGACAGCACTCACGATGCGGTAGCTTTCTTATGGGTAGCTCATACAGAAATAAGGGTGAAATAATCTTCCAAGACGCTTTCAAGGTGCATCCCTGTCTTCCCGTGCCACTTTTTGAGCTGTAAGGGAGGTTTCAGCCCAGACGTGATTTTCAAGCTCTGTTCATTTTCTTACTTTTTGAACAGCATGAGAAAATCAACCCTTTCCCTTCACAAATACCTGAACTCCTTGAGATGTTGCTACAGGCAGAAACGTTGTCCAATTGCTCCGAGTCTTGGACATCCCTCACCTTGGGCTGTCGCAATGCTCCAATACCTCTTCAACCACTTCTATCCTTTAGCTAAAGCGTAAAAAATAAAATATCAGCAGTGCTTTGTTGCGAGGGGGCTGCAAACCACAGGTTTTTTGGACCTGAACTTCTGCCTGTGTCGTGGTTTAGGGCTGGGCTGGCCACTAAACCCTGGCCAGATGCTCTCTGTGAACCCCTCTGCCCTCCCCAGAAGGGAAGAGAAAAGAGAAGAAGGGAGAGAGACTTAGAAAATGGACAGACAAAACAAACAGGTTTAATGAAACAATAATACTGTTACTACAGGATAAGAATGTAAACAGGAAAATAATGAAATCTATACAGACGTACAAATATAGATACAAAACCAATACAAAATCCTCCCCCAATGATGATGACGGCACCAGAGGCTCTGGGAGCACTGGAAAAGTCCCAGTGTGAAGCCAGCAGCAGTGGGAGCTGATGCAGGAACACAGGGCTCAGGATCAGAGGCAGCCGAAGCAGCAGGGTCTGCTGGGCCTTGGACCATTGCAGGGGTGGAGAGGGAAGGAAGGGTCCAAGCTGGAAGGGTGGAGATCCTGGTGATCCCTGGGTTTTACACTATGACCTATGTGGGATGCAATACCTCGTTGGGCAGTTTTGGGTCTGCTTTCCCCCCCCATAGGTGCAGACACAGCACCCATGGTGAGGCAGTGGCCTTGGGATTATCAGTTCACACTGTCTGGGAAAAAAAAACCATGCTGCTGGTTTCAGCAAGTTCAGCCACTTAGAAGAGACTGAGCAGAAAAGTCAAATCACTCAATAGAAAATTAGTTCTGTTTAGCTCAAACCAGGCCAGCCTGGAGCAGCTTCTGGGCTCCTTCCAGCTTAAACCAGGCTGGTGGCCCTGACCTTTTGGGAAGATGTCGAGACTAAGCGCAGCTTACGTTCACTGGTGTAACTTTATTGTAAGACGTCCACTGTATGGGCTTGGCAACGCGATACCCATGGGCCAGGGTTACCCAGGGACCGCGTCAGCCTCCGGCGAGCAGGAAGGGATTTATTCCCTGTCGTTACTGCGGGAAGAAAGGTCACCTGCGCTCCTTCCATAATTCATCGACGTTTTCCTGCCTCTCTGACCCGTAATCTATCGTCATACATAGCTCCTAATATATCATTCCACTGTGCTGCCTGCCCGCAGCCGGTGACCTTACAAAGTTATTGATTTCTTTCTACTTAATTAGTCCAAGCAATTAAATAATCCCCTGGGAGCCAATCGGATATTGGTTAATGTTTAAGCACTGAGGCAATGGGTATGGCCTGCCCTTTCTGCTGAGTGAGTTTGCCCCTTCCGAACCAGTCCCGTTCACACAATTACACCTTCAGTGGGGATATTTCTGAAGGTACAATGCGCAAGTTTTAACTGAAGAAAGATGTATTCTGATCTGTGTTATCTGAATTTGTATTATCTGAACTTTAAAGGACTTTTCCATGCACCAAGAATCAACTGAATAAACAACATCTTTAAGGACGGGATTTGATCTTTTTCACGTAACCTCAGTAAAAGGAATCATCAAAGCAATCACAACAAACCCTCTACGTTTAGATTTAATTCTAATCACTTGAATTGCATTTCATTTCCTCCTTCATCGTCAGAGAAAGGGCTCGTGCTCTCCTAAAATAATTGTAGGCACTCAGGATTCTTTAAATATTAACGAGCAAAAGAAATCCATGGTGTTGGTCACGCCGAAGACTTTTAACAATTGCGTTTTAAATCTAATCCTGCCTCAGCTGCGCAAAAAGACGTGAAATGAGTTGTTGTCAATTTTCGATGCAGATGGGACGTGACCTTTAATTCCTTCCTTCCTTTGAGGGGATTTGTTCTGGAGGATTCCTGAGGCTCAATCCTGGAAAGGAAACTGGTGTTGCTTTTGAGGAATTAGTGAGCTCGTTTCTCTCTGCTTCGCAGCTCTTGATTTCCTGGAGAAAATCCTGACGTTTAACCCGATGGATCGATTAACGGCTGAGATGGGTCTGCAGCATCCCTACATGAGTCCGTATTCCTGCCCCGAGGATGAACCCGTGTCCCAGCATCCCTTCCGGATTGAGGATGAGATCGATGATATTTTACTGATGGAAGCCAACCAGAGCCAGATGTCCAACTGGGACAGGTACGGTACCACATACTGGTTTGAATTCACACACAGAATCACACAGAATCGCTCGGTTGGAAAAGACCTCTGAGATCATCACGTCCAACTGCTCCTGTCTACCCCCTAAACCATATCCCTAAGTACCTCATCTACCCGCTCTTTAAACACATCCAGGGATGGGGACTCCACCACCTCCCTGGGCAGCCTGTTCCAGCTTCTGACGACCCTCTCAGGAAAGAACTTCCTCCTTAGCTCTAACCTGAACCTCCCTTGGCACAGCTTGGTGCCGTTTCCCCTTGTTCTATCCCCCATCAGCTGGGAGCAGAGCCCAGCACCCACCTCTCTCCAAGCTCCCTTGAGGCAGGTGGAGGTGGTGCTGAGGTCTCCCCTCAGCCTTCTCTTCTCCAGGCTAAACAAGCCCAGTTCCCTCAGCCGCTCCTCTTGAGGCAGGACTTGACTGGTGATTTTCTGACCTTGCTCTTGACTGGGTTCAGTGCTCCAGGCCCACGAAGGACGCCTGCGTCTCCTTCTTCGTGCCATTTTGTAATTCTAGGTCAAGCTGGCACCTTGCTGAAGCCAATGAGAGGTTTGTAGTTGATTACACAGGGAGCAGATAGGACAAAATAAGCAGCTAAGAATTAACCAGGTTCACTTTCCTGTAGATCTCCTTCCAGCTGGGCTGGTTGAGGATGTCTGTAGCGTTGTTCCTCTCTGCATAGCAATTAAATCTCCTCGCCTTCTTAATCTACTCTATTTCATCAATATTTTAAAAAATAATCAAAAAAAATCCCTTGCCTTCAGTATTATTAATCTCTTTGCGTGGGTGAACAAGTATCAGGGTGGAGGTTGGGGAAGACAACCCAAATTAGGTAAAGAAGAAAGCTGGAAGCTTCTCTCAGAGTATCTACCTTCAGTGTATCCCCACAGCTCCTGCATCTCTGCCAGTTATAGTCCCCAAAGCAGCAAATCAGTTGCTGGGGTGTCACTTTGTCACCTTTTTCCCCTCTTGGCTTTCTTGGTGTGACACAAGAAGCTGGGACCTAGACTGTCGGTCCTGCCACCCAGCTGGGGACAGCTGCTATAGCGACATAAATTTTGCAACACAAGCTGTGTGTTTTCGAGATGGGAAACGATTTTGCCTGTTGTGGGACACCTGAAGAGCATTTGGTTGTTGGGCCACTACTGGTCCTGTCTGTGCAGCACGGGCAAGCCTCATGCTCCTCATAAATCACTTTCAGCACACAAGAAAAAGGTCTCTAATATTAAAAACTTAAAGCTCTACTGTTAATAATCTAATATTAATAAGAATTTAAATATTAAATCTTTGCGTGTCTTTCACAGGTATCACGTGAGCCTCTCGTCCGATTTGGAATGGAGACACGATAAATACCACGAGATGGATGAGGTTCAGCGAGACCCCCGGGCAGGCTCTGAATCCATCGCCGAAGAAGCACAAGTGGATCCACGGAAATACTCCCAAAGCAGCTCGGAGAGGTTTTTGGAGCTCTCCCACTCCTCCATGGACCGAGTATTTGATGCCGACTGTGGGAAATCGTGTGATTACAAAGTGGGGTCACCTTCCTACTTGGACAAATTGCTGTGGAGAGACAATAAGCCCCATCATTACTCAGAGCCCAAGCTAATTTTGGATTTATCCCACTGGAAAAGAACAACCATAGCACCTGCAGCTGAGCTATCGCTGGAAGAAGAACCATCCAACCTGTTTCTGGAGATTGCTCAGTGGGTGAAGAGCACGCAGGTGGGTCTCGAGTGTCCCAGTCCTCTTCCGGAGATTCAGGAACGGAGCTTGCCCTCCTCTCCTCACCATCTCCACCAAGAACCCGCGGAGGTGAACACCAAAACAGACCCTGACTTTGACTTGGACGTCTTCATCTCCAGGGCGCTGAAACTTTGCACAAAACCCGAGGATCTTCCAGACAACAAACTCAATGATATCAACGGGGCCTGCATATCCGAGCACCCCAGTGAGATTGTACAGACAGAAGTGTACCAGAAAGAGCGATGGTGAGGAACCCACACCCAGGACACCCCGCTGCGTCTCCCTGTTCCTCTCTCTGGTGTGGCCATTGCCCGGGGCCGAGTGGCTTCTGGCTGTCATTGAGCATCCGTTTTTTTACACTATAGCGAATGCCTTTTTCCGCAAAGGCGAGCACAAACCACCCGCCCCTTTTGATGCCTTAGAAATACCTTTAAGGGAATCAAGAGGTGTGAATGAAATACTGAGTTTCTTATACTGCCTTAACACTCTTGCCTTGCGATCTCTGGGACCTGTTTGCAACTTAAATGTACGAGGGAAAGGTGACGGTACATGAGAAGTTTGCAAACAGCAGTCAAATCAACTTCTTTTCCTTTCTTTTTCGATAGCATCTTAAAATGACGAGGACAAAAATCAGCATTTTTCAGTGTGGTCAGATACCCTCCTGGTTTGACGGGTTCCCAAAATGCCAAACTTTGAGCTCCTCTGAGGCAGCCGTGTGAGTCCAGGCAGTCTGGAGAGAAGCGATGCCAGGCAGTGGCCGTGGTCACCTTCAGTCAGCGGAGCATGGAGCTAGAGGTAGAGTTTGGCCATCAGACAGAAAATGACTCTTCAAAATGTCCATGGGGAAGGAATTTGACCTACAAAATCTGGGCCATTTGGGATTTTCTTTTCTTTTTTTTTCTGGTTGGAAGACAAAAGTTTTGCTAAGCGCATTCTCCTTGTTTGCTTTCTCGCACATAAACCCTCCCTTCTGTTGCACGGGGTAGATGTGAGCTCTCCGGGGACTTGAGAGGCCCCATACGCTGCTTTTCAGTGTAAGAACTGTTTTCATCCACACTTCTGAGCACCTTAATAATTAGTCAGCTAACGAGAGTTTGTATAGGGAAGCAATGTTCTATACTTATATTTAATCCAACTCGGCAGTTTTTTTTAAATGGAAGACCTGTAAATAGCATCAAAAGCCAATCTCTGCTTTCCTTGCCATCGTGGCGCTGTGCTCTCCAGCGTGACGGCACTATTTTCATTTGTAAAAGAGGAACTACTGTGCTTACTAACTCCAAGGTCCGTATTTAGCTCTTGTTCCTAGATTAATTATTTTTACCCTTTTAACAAGCAATCTACTGAATGTCTTGAGACGTGAAGAAAACTCACGTGAGACTCGGATGAAAACTAACAGCAGCATTTACTGTATTAACCCTGGTGGGATCAGGTACAGGTTTAGCTATAGGAGAGCTTGTGCGAGGCATTGGCAACCCCAAAAACTTGCTCTTATTGTGAAGGTCTCTCCTTGGGCTGATGGAAATGCCATTACTCTGGCTGAGTAGCAGCAGAGATGTGAAGGGTGCCGGCCGCATGGATGGGATGGGGTGGAAGTCCTGGGACAGGGGTGGAGGAGGCATCTGGAAAGCAAAGTCATTGGAGGAGGCAAAGTCATCAGAGGAGACATCTGGAAGGCAAAGCCATTGGAGAAGAGAAAGCCATTGGGGAAGGCAAAAACATCAGAGGAGACATCTGGAAGGCAAAGCCATTGGAGAAGGTAAAGCCACTGGAGGAGGCATCTGGAAAGCAAAGGCATTGGAGGAGACATCTGTAAGGCAAAGCCATTGGAGAAGGCAAAGCCATTGGAGAAGACAAAGTCATTGGAGAAGGCAAAGCCACTGGAGAAGGCAAAAACATTGGAGACATCTGGAAGGCAAAGCGATTGGAGAAGGCAAAGCCACTGGAGAAGGCAAAGCCATCAGAGAAGGGAAAGCCACTGGAGAAGGCAAAGCCATTGGAGAAGGTAAAGCCACTGGAGAAGGTATCTGGAAAGCAAAGGCATTGGAGGAGACATCTGTAAGGCAAAGCCATCGAAGAAGGCAAAGCCACTGGAGAAGGCAAAGCCACTGGAGAAGGGAAAGCCACTGGAGAAGGGAAAACCACTGGAGAAGGGAAAGCCACTGGAGAAGGCATCTGGAAGGCAAAGCCACTGGGCTTTGGTCTTTGCTTCGAGCGTTTGCATGTCCCCAATGGTGGTTTAGAAAGGGGAGAAGGCAAAGCCACTGGGCTTTGGTCTTTGCTTTGAGCATTTGTATGTCCTCGATGGTGATGGTTTAGAAAGGGGACAGCCACTGGAGAAGGCAAAGCCACTGGAGAAGACAAAGCCACTGGACAAGGCAAAGCCACTGGAGAAGGGAAAGCCATCGGAGAAGGGAAAGCCACTGGAGAAGGCAAAGCCACTGGAGAAGGCAAAGCCACTGGAGAAGGGAAAACCACTGGAGAAGGGAAAGCCACTGGAGAAGGCATCTGGAAGGCAAAGCCACTGGAGAAGGGAAAACCACTGGAGAAGGGAAAGCCACTGGAGAAGGCATCTGGAAGGCAAAGCCACTGGGCTTTGGTCTTTGCTTTGAGCATTTGTATGTCCTCGATGGTGATGGTTTAGAAAGGGGACATGAGGGAGAAACAGAGGGTTGGTTTCCAGTGCGTTGCAGATAATTGATATACCTCAACTAAAGCTCAGCACTTTTACTGGTGGTGGGAGAAACTCAGACACCGAAAAAGCAACCGACCCTGAAGCGGAGCAGATCCAAATCTGGCCCCAGTGGCCCACGACTCACTGCCTATGGTCCCACTCAGCTTCACCATGCGTGCAAAGGCTGGGAACGGGATTGCTGGGGTCAAGTGAGTGTGTGCCCAGAGAGGAGGAGGTGGCAGCAGCCACCGTTGTGCCCCATCACTCCCTGGTGCCACCCTGGGAGGAGCAGATAACGCCCAGCCCTTGCTGGGAGAGGCACAGATGCTGCAGCCAGAGGCATCAACTGAAAATCAGATCTTTGGGAGCCAACAGAGTTAAAACCTGAAGGATAAGATCAGCAATGCGAGAGCTGACTTTTAAAACTCTCTTCTGACGGATTCAGCAACTATTTGCTGCCCGTTGGGTTAAGCACGGAGAGGCACTGACGTGCGAAAGCGTCAGCAATCAAACCATGCCAGCGTTTTCCTCGGCAGCCATCGGTCCCCGCGTCGTCCAAAACCAGAAGCCATTTTCCGTGGATTGTTACATTCAGCCTGAACGTCTTCACCGGAGGCGCACGGGACTATTTATCATGGCCATGAAAGTAACAGTTTTGCTTTTCAATATTACCCTCTAAGGAGGAGTGGGAGCTTGAGGGCCCGCAGATAAAGTCTGATATTAACTCAGCGAGAAGCAAACGGGGCTCATTGCCGCTGCTCCGGGTTTTCCGTTGCGGTTCGTGAGCTGTTATTTGACGTTCCAAAACCATGTGCTGAGAAAGGGGGGGCAAATGAGAGGGGTGGCTTTAATTTGTTACCTGAGTGTGCTCAGCCGATCACAAGCCAGATTTCTTTCTCACCTACAATAAAATTTAAGGCCTGAGCCTTCCTTGCTTGGTAGAATGTAATTATTTTGCTTATTATGAGGTTGGAAATGTTTATTCCAGTACTCGCATGCAGGTTTCTTCTGCAAATGGTCACAAACACCTGAATTAGCGTATGTATCATGTAAATATTTGCATTCTGGGGTTATTTGGTGCTGGGTGGCTTTTCACCAAGCTTTGCTTTTGCTGGTGTGGGGCATCTGAGCGCTCGGGGCCACAGGGAGGGAATTCAGACCTCGTCACCAGCTCGGTGATTTCTTGCAGTTGTTTGAAGAACTGTTTCAGTGCAAGATTAACCATCGGGTGTGCGAGCGACGTGGTCCTGTTTGATGATGTGGTCCTGGTTGGTGACAAGGAGAGGCAACGTGGGGGACTGGTTGTGGTAAATGGAGCAAAGTCCAGCTG